ATTAGAAAACACTCCACGAGGTCGAAAGCTCTGCGAAGAGTCGCCCGTAAAGCTATCGCTTCAAATCGCTTTAGAAGTGGTCCCTCGATTTCCGCCCCATGACGTCATAAAAGTGTCATGCTGTCGCCGGATGCGATCCTGGCGGCATCAAAACAACGAGAAAAGAGTCAAAGTACAGGCTAGCTGGTGGTAGTCAACCATTTCGTCGTTTACCCTGAGACTGGGGTAGTAACAGAAAAAGACCTGTCTGTTTTTTCTGTTACTTCTGCTCTTCAAAAGAACCCCCAGTCTCAGGGTAAACGACGAAATGGTTGATCAAAACAACGGTGGTGGGCATGGCAGACGCCTATTCTGCTGCAGGTCGCTCCCCAGCTTGACAGTCCACGGAGGCTTCGGCAGCCAGAAGTTGGGACGCCGTGACGACAGCGACACTCGCGTTCGGTTCTGATACTCCAATGCTACTCGCAGCTTCTCGTTAGCATTTCAAGCATTTGTACGATCAACCGCCAGGATCGCGATATGCGACAGCATGACACTCCGGCTTTTGATACGTCATTAGGGAGTTTTCGTAGATGGTTTTCGCCGTCCCGCAACGGCTCTCCGCAACTCGCTACGATACCCGGAACTCTACAGTCAAGGCCATCGGCGCGCCGGTGCAGTAGCCACTTCTTCGCTGCGGAGGGCTAGCGGAGGGGGAAACGTAGGGTGCCTACAGCGGCGGAAACATGTAGGCACCCTAGGGAAACGCGATCTACGAAAACTTCCTATTTGTTGCCACTTCGGGACCACCTTCGATGCATGGGCAAAATAGGACGCTAAACACACGGGGAAAAAGCGGGAGAGGGCACGCGCCCGATCCCGCTAGCAGACGACAGACCTGCAGGATCCCTAAGCTAGTCAAACACAAAGTTGGTGCAGAAAGTTCGCTGAGGGCGCCTATTGGACGTCGGCGAAAAAAGCGCAAAGTCATCGTTGTTATAGGCCAATCGGTGCGCTCCGTCAACTTCGGCCCCAACTTTGTGTTTGGCGAGTTTAGAGGCCCAGTAGTTCTCCATGTTTGGGCAGTATACCCGTGGGTTGCACGTTGTTGTACATAACAACTAACTCTCGCTCGTTGCTTCCGCTATGAAGTGGCTTACGTTTCTAGAAATTTTATGGACATTTCAAGACCAGACTGTTGTGCTCTGCTGATCTATTTCAGTCAATGATCAGGCAGCGTTCGGTAGCTTCAATTGCAATGACGTCTGCCGACAGAACTGCCCTCAACCACTAGAAAACAGAATCCTGACTGTACAGTATTGAATTCGAAAAAGCCTTGCTTGTTTTTTTCTGAAACGCCATGCAAACGTACAAATGTTCTTACTCCGGGGTTAGAAATCTTAAAACCCTAAGCGTTTTCTTACTTGCTCCCCGCCATATGTGATAGAATTCGGTATCCAAGGAAGCGCCGCCACGTCAAAGTTAACTGCTTTGCTTTTATTTTTTATGAATAACAATAATCAACTTTTTCACAAACCATGCTGCCGGAGCACCCACGACGTTGGGTCTTCGGCGGTGCATTGAAGTCAATTGCGCACCCATATGCCGCTTCCCAAGTACCAACTACGCGTAAGCATAAGAAAAAGTTATTCTTTTCACAAATGGACCACTACAAACATCTGCGATAATTTAAGCCATTTAATATCGTCATATCCAAGGCCATCAAGCAATGAAGTTTGCGCAAATTCGTTGGCCGCTGAGAAAACAAAAACAAAAAAAAAAACATCGCGTTGTTGTTGTTTCATACTTAGTGAGCACGTGTTCTTTTTTTTTTTTTAATCTAAACTTTGAACGGTTTGTTGATAAAGGCCTAAATAAGTGTGAGCTCTATGTTGCAAAAAGCTGTGCAACCGCATTCACTTTCCACCGGACACGACGACATACGACAGTCCGACCACATTGTTTGCAAGGTTGTATTCACTCTTTTTTTTAAGTCTTTTTTTCTTACTTGCGCGGCAGGTGATTACAGGATTGAGGCCGATTAGTCTCTTTATCGGAGATAATATTGTACGATAACCTTGCACATCTAAATCTGCACTTTCGCGCCTGACATTGCCGAAATGACGCGATTTTCAATCGTGTTTGCACGCCAGCCGGGTGTTGGCCACTGTCCAGTCTACAGAGCAGACGTCTTAAAAATTGTGTTGCTTTTATGGTTTGACAGCCTTGAAGTTTCTACGCCTCAACGGCTGACCTGTCTCTCAGCTGTAGATGAAAAATTTAGCCAGTGCAGTACAACCACCCCAACGCCTGTCCGAACAGGACACTTCAGAAATCGTGAGGCGACACGACTCCGTCAAAAATCGTGGAAGTTGAAACGACCGGCAGTTGGTTTGAATACGACCAAGCAAACATCGCGATTTTCCTCCTCGCTTCCACCGCTCTTCGGTGATCTTGGTGCCCGCCAGACTTGACCTGCCATGCTGTCCATCTGTTCTGTTCTGCGGGCCCTCGTATCCTTTGCCGTGTTCCAAAATTTACTCTTAGTCCAGGGTAAGGCTTCTGTACCTTTCCGTTCGAAAACCTACCCACGTCCAGCGTCGCTCTATCTGTGTTACCACGTGACACGACCCGCCAGAGTGACTTGGATCTATTTTGGGCAAGATTTCGGACATAGCCCTCCCCTTTCCCGTTTTCGGGACCTGAAGAGGAGCGGGGGTCTTGAGCGATTGACCGACAGCCAACAGAGCTTGTAAGTGGCTGTCCGGGAACCACGTGATGAGCATGCTCAATGCACCCGTGGAGGACACGGGTGAAATTTGACGGAGAGAGCTTTCCCCTCGGCAAAAAAGACGGACGGAAAAAAAAAATTGGCTTGCTCTTTATGTTTATACAGCCTTGATGGAGATGCGCCTCAACGGGTAATCGGTCTCTTAGCTGTAGATGAGAAATTTAGCCAGTGCGGTACAACCGCTAGCCTGGGATTTTTAACGTGCATCACGCAGTAGTGATCACACGAACGCGTGCCGGTACGAAACTCATCCAGATCGAAACGGGCGGGGGCGGCGGGGATCGAACCCAGGAGGTTCCCAGCGCAAGCTTTCGCTTCACGCTCCGAGCTGAGACGCGTTAGCCCACTCGGCCACTTCCTCCCCGACGGACGGAAGCGGACCGCCGCACGACTTATGTCGGAGTCGTGTCCCCTCAATATTTCTAAAGTATCCTGTTTGGACGGGCCTTGACCTGGGTCTTAGTAACGTGTACCACGCAGCAGGGATCACACGAACACGTGCCGGTGCGAAACTCACCCATCGAAACGGGGGGTGGGGATCGAACCAATGAGGTTCTGCCACGCAAGGAGACGGCTCGCTACGGAGCGCACGACCTCTATGCCATGCCGCCACGTCACAACGTCCGCGCAAGTTTCTGCATGGGAACCTCCGCAGGGAGCCCGTTTACATCGCTCGTGAGTCTGCTTTATGCCTCGAAGCCTTTCTTCGGCTGCCACCAGGATATCGCTCCCATGAGATAAGACACAGCTCACGTGCTCTGTATAAGTTTGGTGAGCACTGTACTTCGGTAACAAGAAAGGCGCACACACTCTTTTGCCATAATAAACGCACGTTGCTGTGAAGTGGTCTAAGCGATTGCGATGATAATGTCCACAAAGCGCTCACCATATCATAGATCAGTGCTTCCATTTATACAAAGCGATATGAGCCAAATATAAGGAAAAAACGCAGGTGATCGGGGGAATTACATTCATAGTTTTTGTTTGTTTGATTTTTTTAAACATTTTTGTGTTTGTTTTTTACAATCACTTGCAGGGTGCTTTGCACTGCAAAGTTTGACAGCGCTAAGTGAGGGGAGAAGTTCATAGTTTATGTTTTTCTTTTCTTCCTTCCCTGTTCTTTTGTTTTTCGGTTTTCGTGTGCGGTCCGTCCCTATTGTTGGAGATTAGGGTACACTGTTAGTTTCGGCGAGGAGGTGTTTTTGAATCTGTAAAGAAGGTATGGACGTGTATAGCCCTTTTTTCATTTACTCTCGTCTCCAACCAAGTGGTTCCGGTTTAGGGTATGGACGAGTAAAAATTATAATATATTTCAACCTGGAAAAGGTAAGAAAAAAAATGAGGTGATGTAAAATGAAAACGAGTGACATTCACGCTTTACACGTGAACATCTTCCAATCACATGGAGAGAACACGTTTTCGCCCATACTGGAAGTTCCGCAATTTTTGTTGAATAAACTTTTAAAACTTCGTTGTTCTGTCCGTTTTTTTTTGTTTTTTTTTTGTCTTGGGTGTACTATGGATGAGCCAAAGCTTAAAAAGGACACGATATAAATTTATACATTACTCTAGAGGACAATGCGTATGTATAATGTAGTTATATGTTCTGGACGGTGGTGGTCGGCCCGCGAGAGCCTCTCTCTCAAACAGCTGCTCATCACTTGGCTGTGTAATGCTTTTCGCTATCTTTTATCTACGCATGGCGTTGGTGAAGATAGCCGAGGTCCATGCCCAGATGGATTAATAAGGGTATTGAGACTTCATTCGTGTCACCCAATGCCAATATAGATGACAGACTCCTTTCATTTCCGACAACTTTCAGCGCGTAAAAAGTTACTCCGCAAGCCAAATTGTCACACAAACCTGCATGGAAATGTTTGTTGTCAGGAGTTTTGCAATGAGCAGGGCAAGCTCGCGTCATGATGTAATTTCAGATGATTTGCAAGGGTCTGGAGCAACTGCACAGCTTTGCGGCGCTACGCTGCTGTGTCAGCTCACGTACTCGATACATATGCACCGCAGCGCGGAGACTGAGGGGACTACGGAACCAAGGCAGCCAAGGCCTCGCAACCGTTTGACGCGATACAGAGAACGGCAGGACGGCGGTTCCCGTAGCAACGAACATGTGACTATCTCGTCAAAACGAAACTATACGCGGAGCTTCGATACCGCTCGCGTTCATAGACGCGCTTCGCGCCTGCGGTGGAGTTCTAAGTGAGTTTGAAAAACCATGTCTCTTGGTTGTGCAGATAAGAACAGCGGAATTCGCTTCTACCTACAAGAAGCACAACAGGTGAGCTTCGAGAGAGCGGGGAAAATTCGCGTGTGGGAATGTGCGATGAATCCAACTTATGGACAAGCCTGGGAGAACGCCGAGAGACTGCACGAGCAGAATCGTACGCTCCACAAGTATCGTTCCTGGCACCTCATGGAGAAAGAGTGCTACGTTGCCATTATGTGTTACACGCTCAAGTTACCGAATGTGTCCCGAGATTTCAACGCCCACTGCCGCCGTGCTATGGCAACCGAAGCGAGCTGGAACGCCTTTCCGTACAAGAGCCTCTGGTATTTTCTCATTCGTGCGTTCGAGAAGTTGCCGCCGTTCTCTGCCCCAGGAGGGACCTTTTTTCGGGGTGTCGAAATGTTCCGTAGCAATGACGATCACACTGTCTCTTTTGTGCAGTTTGTGTCGGCAAGTGTGTCGAATTATCAGGCTGCCAAGTTTGGTCGGCGCCGCTATCTTCTCACGCTGGACTGCGTTCCTCAAGAACTGGTGAGAGACATCAGCTTCTACTCAGTCTATGAACACCACAAAGAAGTGCTCATCTGGCCCTTCTGTACGTTCAAGGATATCTCTCCTGATGCACTGATGTGGAACAAAAGCCTCCGCTTCAGTTCGGCCAATCCTTGGGTGGCTCAGTTGCCATCGATGAAGCCATCGTTGACAGTGACTTCAATGACGTCTAATTACATCGACAGTCAAATGTCCGAGGCAGCATCCTTTCCTTCGTCGCCACCAACGATTCTGGGTACAGTGACGGTGTCTGATGCAGATGTTGTACCAGCGGTCCCAGCAATGGAGGAGCACATGGCTCCTGAAAGTGCAAAGATGACACGGATCACGGTGTCATCTTCGCAGTCCCTCCTTGATGCGGTGTTTCGAGCATCGGAAACCTCGCGAAACAGTCAACGTCGACTATTGCAAGAAGCAACTTCAGTGGCGCCAAATGCGATTGCTGCGTCGGTAACTTCTTGCAGTGCAAAGACGACGCGGAAAACAAGCCTCTATGATGCCGTGCCTGAATCTGGAAATGCCTCCAAGAAAGTATTTATCTTGCAAGAGGCCGAAAATACGAAGCCTAGAGCGATCCTCTCCGCTGCTATACCTAGCCCCAGAACTGCTTGTGATGAACAACCTCTCCCACAATCACTCAAGAGAACCATAATCGTGAAGCCCAGCTCACTTCGCCTGGTTACTGATCCTGAGCGTCGTATGCCCACGGCTCCTTCTTCAAGAAAAGAAGGCCCAGTTACTGCCTGTGTGCTGCCACGGATGGCTACGCCCAACAGCCCAGGGGATGAGACGAAAACGTTCATTGGTTCCTCCAGCGAAAACCAATCCTCAAAACCTAAACGGAAGAAAACGACATTTCTGCTATTCGTGTTTCGCAGCTTGCTTCACACAGTCATTTGCGGAAGATATGCGAGTGTCGATTGAAGACAAAAATAGGTAGGGTAAACCATATTAGCTACCCCACCTTTTCAAAAGGGTTACTCTTCTTGTTTGGATCGCCTTCTGCTCTATATATTCCAAAATATCATATCAGAATATCAGTTGCCGAAAGAATGAATAGGCATACCCCAAGCTCTAGTTCTTTGGAAGTTGGAAACACTCTTATATCTTTTATTAATTACATCAGAAATGATTTCCTATATACTCTATATTAGAACTGTGATGCTACTTCAGATTTATATTAAACATATTTTTGGTACATGCAGTGCACCGGTTTATCGAAGTCTTCCGACCAATTTGTTATACTCCTATCTGAAAGAAGCTATCGACTAAAATAGTAACTAATTCCTTATTTGTATCCCTGTTTGTAAGGATGAAGTTCCGATTAGATTTCATGAAAAGTACTATCTTTGAAAGGTAGCTGGAGAGCAGGGTGGTTTTAGCTACTGTTTTCCCTATTGACTTGATTTCCGAAAAATGCAGCAAACAATCTTCCCTTTTTCTTTTTTCTGAAAGGCGAGAAGGCTAACTTTATTATGTGTCAAATTTTTAATAAACATGAAAATGATATTTTTGGTATATTATATGGGCATGTCGGGTAAGGTTGCATAGCCATGACCAGATTAATAACGATTTATCAAGACATTCATTAATTACAATTGACTCGCTTGTTGTTTATATAATAAGGAATGTTACAATAATAATTCCTGGAGAAGGGGAACAAGGGGGACAAAGGACCAACACAAACCTCCAAACACATCTGGGTGACTGGTGCGGTCCTGCTATCGATCCAGGGTCCTCTCCATTTCCAGTGGAGCGCTCTACCGACTGAGCTAAGCAGGAGTTAAACGTCAGTAGAGCAAACGCGTTTTAACAGCTGCCACCAGTCTTTACACCAACAAGGGTGAACGGCCTGCCTTTTAAGGTTATGATAATAACGCAATTAATGCAAAGGTGCAAGCGAGTTGGACAAGAATAACGATAATAATCCCCGAAGAAGGGGAACAAGGGGGACAAAGAACAAACAGAAGTCTCCAAACACAGCCACAATGCACTCCACGCGGTGCGGTCGGGGCATAGCTGGGTGATTTCAGATAAGATCGACCAAAGGGTGGCTGGTCGACATTTTTAAATCAACTGATGTTTTTATATGACATTGTCTAGTGTCTGGTATAAACGAATCCACACTTAGTTTTGACCAGAAAAAAAATTTGGAGACAAGAAAAATCGTAAGGCAGGGAGAGGTGGACAGTTGCAATAACGCGCACTGATGGAGGGGGCAAGTTTGAAAGTGAATAATTAAAACAATAAAATTAGGAGAATTTTAAAACTTTTTACAAACAAACTATGGGTACAACTTGCTTGTAATATAAAGTAATAATATTTATTAAAAATTTATTTAGTTTTCTAAAAATTGCCAAACATGCCTGCTCGAACGACAAATGGCAAACTTTGGAAATCTGTATCTCATGAAATAATTTAATCATTATTACATAACTTGCAGACATTATTTTACTAATATATGGCTATTATTGAAAAAATAAATAAGGTATCTGAGTGACACAATAGTTACAATATATTTAGGCAAACATGGGAAAAAAATCAAACAAAGAAAAATTCCAATGCGAATAAAAAAAAACACCACCTTCGATTTTTTTTAAATTTGGGTACCCTGTTATACTCTATTTCGGCATTCATTTCTATTAAAACATGTTGCATCAATGCACTGTGAAAGAAGAAACAACTCCCCAAAGTAGGGTCCTTTTTCAAAGCCTACACGTGTCCTATACAAGAAGTGACTCTGAGTTCCAGTTTCATGAAACTTGCACAAATCTTTTATATACATTTATTCAGATGAGATCATTGATAAAAAGAGCGATCGGTCACACAGTAAAAGGGAGGAGAAACTATATACAGCATTTTACATAAGCGTACAAAGTGGTATCATATTAGAGACTAATGATTTGAGAAAAGATGATGCAGTGTGAAGTTGTACCTTCCGGTATATTTTACATCTAGAGTAAAATAAATAACTTTACTTCCACACACAAAAACAAAGATATAATAGTAAGATATTTAGGTTGGCTGTGTATTTACGATTACAAACAATTTCAGGTGACGGATGCCATAGTGCCTAACTGGAGCAGCTTCGATGCTCTCGGTGTATGAATGAATCGTGGCAAGCCGATATATTTTATCCTGCTCGAGGATAACATTTTGGGATTTTTTTTATAGTGATCAGATAAAAATTATTAGTAACCACCAACAAAAACAGTAGGTTAAATACCCCGTGAAGAAAAATGTGATAAATAAGATGTCCCTGCATTCAAAATGAGCAGTCCTTGGGAAATCAAATTCGGCACTTTACGCTAAGGTTTTCCTCGCTGTACCCATTTAATAAAGTTGGTTCCAAGCAGATCAGACTGTCCGTGCTACATATACGTCACAGGTCCCTTCTGTTGATGACTTGCTGAGCCGCCACGCGTGCCAAGACTGAATGCCAGGGAAGGCGCGCACCGTCAGCCACTCTTCTTTTTTTTTTTTTGTTCACGATACCGAACAACCTCATTTTCGTCCAGATATACAAGATGCACGCATTTCAGTTTCTTTGATAGAACGCTCACCATTGTCCTAGCCGTCTGAATTGCGCTTACTGAACGTTCTCTCAGGTTGTTCAGCGTGGCCTGGTGCTTCACGAGTCCGCCAACTCCGTCACATGCATTTTTCCCATGTCCAGATGCAGAAAATAACCACTGGGCTTGTGGGCAATCGTCCTTTGCAAATTGGTGAAGCTGGTAGCGATTCTTGAAATGACTGGCGGCGCCGCCACTTACGTACGTCACGTACGAGTATACCGCAACGTTGTCTTCAACCCACTCCTTCACTTTTTCTAGAGCCAAGCAAGCGTGAGCGGCGTCGTGACACAGGTCCTCACTGATGATGGCAAAGCTGTTTGTAGATTTTCTTGTCGTCACTACATATGTAAATATCGAAACTTGTTTTTTTTTTCCAGTGATATGCTTGCACTTCGTCAGGAAGCACGATGGTCCAGTTTTCAGCAAAGTCAAAATGAAAGACAATGCTCCCGCGTTGCATGCACTGTTTTTCATCGTAGATCGCTTTACCTTGCGTTTGCCGGGTATGGTTGTGAAGTACCCAACTTCCAACCGTCACTTGGATGACTTTTAGGAAAGTCTCAGGTTCCAAAGTTTTTTTCACAAGGTCGCCGGACTCCCATGTTGCAAGCACAATCTCTTCATCCTCCGGGATATCAAGTTCCTGGAGTGTAAGAAACTGGCCTTTTGGGCAGTGATCACAGTCTCCTTGAAGGCACAGTTCTGTTGCTGGGTCGCACAGAAATGCCCAGTTCATTTCACCAGTGTTGAATGTTGAGCCTGTAACGTTCTCTAGAGCGGCAATACAAAGATAATAATTAGCGCAGCGCACACAAACGCACACTTCCTGGTGTGGAATACATTGGACCCATCTAGGGCGCAACGAATAAAATTTCGTTAGCCCAACGCCGGAATCGGGATGCTTGTCTTTGTATATACGGAAGGCCTCTCGTATTGAGCGTGTCATGAAGCGCTTTGGCACGAACGTTTTCTCTCCGTTGAGCATGACAGAGATGACGTCCTTCTGGTTGGGACTTTGGCGCGAACATTGTAGCTCGTCTTTCGTGAAGTACTCTAGGGCAGCAGACAGGTTCTCAGGGCTCACCTTGCACCTCGTGTAAGGATCCGGCTCATACCACACGCCATGCTTTTCCTTGAGTTTTCGGGATTTACTGATGAGGTACATTGAGGCCTGTGGAATCATCTTTTGAACCTCATTCTTCGTCAGTGTTGACGGCAGGAGTGTAAGCAGTTGACAACGTTCCCGGAGAGAGGTGGCGGTTTCAAATGCCTGCCGAAAGTTGTCCACCCACTCAGTGCATGTGGAGCATGTTGGTTCGGACGACCCCGATGGTGCGTCCCTGTCGTACGCAATACGTAGCCTTGAGCGTATATTCTTGACAGCAACCTGCTCCAGTTCTGTCTGCTTTCTCTTGACATAGGCAGGCCTGTCCCGACTTCTTACGACGCTTGGTTGTCTCAGCGGCGACACATCTGTAGGTAGTATGCTGCGATTTAGATCTTCAATTGCTTCTTCAGCTGGCACAAATATGTCAGGGCACTGCTCTGAGCTTCGCATCGAGACCTCCTTAGTGATGTGCATGAAGCAATGGTAGCACAGGTAGTCCGTCGCACTCACTTTGGTGGAACAGTCAGGCGGAAGAATTTGCTTCAACGAGTTTAGGTCCAACTCGCCAACACTTCGAAAATTCCGCTGCTTTGGTATAGTCTTTTTGTGTTTGCAAAAGTAATCTGCACAAAACACTCGTTCGGAGCTCCAGGACGTCTTCATAATGTATACATAAATAATAGAAATTAAACCCCAACTGATGGCATATAATTGCCAAGTGAAAGAACTACTGGGTGCACAAGTGACAAGTCCGAGGCTGAGGAGCTCACTCACTGCAAACGTACATTTGAAAAGAGAGGTCACAACTGAGGCTGTCGGCAAAGCTTGATCCACGTCAAAGGAAGAAAGAGGGAAAGTATCCAGACAAAAAATTGTGGTCAGCGGCCTTCGAAAAAGACTTTCCGGAATCGCACTGTCGTCCCTCCACGCGCTGATATGAAAGCACCCGAGCTTCTACCACGTGGTTCATGACACAGCCTGAGCCATGTCGGCGACCGGTTCGCGAGGGGTTGGCAGTGGGGTTACGTTGATGGTCACTCGGATTAGTCCTTGCTGTACTGAGCTACCGCCTGCAGTGCCTTATCGCCGGCTGGTGTCAACAACGAGAACACAGACACCCTGTCTACACCAAAACTACAAGCGTTCACCGCACACGCGTCGCCGCCGCTTTTAAGCTTTTGTGAAATTGCTTTCTTTTGCCGCGGAGAACCGCCTTATCTTAACTACGCGCCTGAAATCCTTCCAGGCGGGCGTACACAATATCAAGCATTTCGAGAAATGCCCGTGGAGTAGAACTATGGGAAAATTCGGAGCCCGCGATGTCGATATCGTCGCCGTTGTGTTTGTACGCCGTCGCGTACTGCAGTCCCCCGTTGGGGGAGGGGGGGGGGGGGGCGGTCTTACTACGATAACATGGCGACAGCGTTTACACTCTATGTATTTACGCGAGGCTCGAGTATTTGGGGATAATGCTGCCGGTTGGTGTGCCCCTTTGTGCCTGATATTATCGCCCGTGACGCCAGCGAGTGAGATGGCGACAG